TTTTTTTTTTTTTTTTTTTGCCACTGAACAATAACACTCAGTTAACGAAAAATAAAAGCTTTGGCAGAGAATAACAGCCAAATAGTGCCTGGATTTTTTTCTTTTTTTTTTTTGTCACTAATTTAACGTACGGTTTAAAATGTTGAAAAAAAAAAAAAGAAAAATTAAGCAAATATTTTGAATATTAGTGCCTGTTCAAATTTTTTATTTTTAACAATTTTCATATTTATTGTTTCCTTTTTTTCTTACTTTTTTTTTTGTTTAATTTTTCTGTAAAAATTACTACTATTTTAGCTGCCGGTAACAGCTCGTGATAATGAAAATTTGTTACGAGACGGTTATTTGGAAGAAGTAGAAGATGTTTCAAACTATTTACAGTTTAATTTAACAGTGCCGTGTAATATAACAGCTTCTGGAAACTGTTCATTTCGTGATGTCTGTCACGGTGCCTGCAATGACAATCAGGTAACAGATTGGATTCCAATAGTACTGATCAACTGATCAGTACTATTGTTTTGTTGGCAATTACAATGTGTATTCTGAATAGACCTACTAAAAGAGTTTCTAGAAGATGACCAATGCATAGGATTAAAAGTATAAGAACCGGAAACAACCTTGGTTAGAAAGCTGAGTGAAAAAAGAATCTTTCAACCTTAGACAGACCACAGCTTTTTGTTGATGATTTAATAACAGATTAATTTTTATGTGGTCAACTCAAGTTGATTTTGTATTTATCATCTGTCTACCATTTTTCTTCATTCTTGTTTTAAGCATGACATTAAAGTATGCACTATGAAATTTTGGCAGCTTAACCTTGGCAAGATAAAAGCAGCTAATAAATTTTAAGCTTTCGTAATTCATTCCAGTTTTTCTCTTATCTTCTATTCCATTTCTCTTTTTCCTTTTTGCTGTCAGGTTTGAACAGTTAAATGGATTAGACGAAAGAATTGCACCCGGTCAATGTAACAATCAAACACTATGTGATATAGTTTGAATATATATTTTTTTTTCACTTTTTTTGGTTGTTTTTGTTTTAATGATTTTGTTGTTCATGGTTAAAGTGTTGTTATTATTGTTGTAAATATTTGTTATATTTATTGTGCCATTTACAGGTGATACCAATATTTCGATTCATTTACCGCAATGTTTCCCAGCGACTTCACCCAAATTTTCGTTTGACATATCCAACGATGCACATTTACAACGACGATTATTACACCGGGGAAAATTTTGCGGGAGTATCTGTTAATAAGAAAACTAACAGGATTAGGTAGTCATTGAAATCTTTATTTTTTTTTTCTTTTTTATCTTTATTGAGACTTTATAAATAAATGAAAAGAGAAAAAAATAAAGAAAAATTTTTGAAAAATTTTTAAAATCGTTCTTTTTTTTTTTTCCGTTCTATTTTTATGTCATTCAATAAACTACTTTACCAAACATCTATTGATTCATCTGAATAAACATGAAAATGATTCTAGTAAATTGATTCATTACAGAGAAAATTAAAAGAGCTGAATTCTTTAATGATAGAAAATTACCAAAGCAATAAAAAAAAAAATGAAGAAAAAAAGGTTTATTATCAAGTTTTTATTTTTATAATAAGCTTTTACCTGACTTTATGACATCTTTTTTATCTTTACATGCAGTTCCGTTCTGAAAATACGATGGCTTGAGTTTCTTTGAAGGTTTTTTGGACACTATTCAGTTTCCAGTTGTTTGACTAACATTTGTCAAGACAATTTCATTATCGACAGTATTGCCTAACACTTAAACGTTATCCACAGATTACTTTTTTGCCGCAAAATATGAAAATAGAAAAGAAAAAGCAAACTTTTAACATTTTCAATGTGTATTTGTTTTTGATTGTGGGATTAATCAAAATCAACCTTTGGCAGACTGCGTTCTTCCTCACTCTTCTGTCTCCTACCTTTCATTTCTTTTTCCTTCTTTTTTTTTTTTTTTCAAAAGCAAAACCTGAATTTATTTTGGTAATTATTGTAAAATTTGAAAGATTTACTAAATACCAATCATTTTTTGCCTGAATTTTCGTCAGCATTTATTTTTCTTAGTATGACTAATTACTATTGTTGACTAATTATACCAGCCAAATATTACTGAAGAACTCAGCAAAATTTAGTGGGGTAAGCCGTAAGTTCCTTCTTTTTTTTTCCTTTAATATAGCAGAACATTCTGGCATTTATTAGGTACAGTACCAACTTTTGAAATGTTTTTCTAGTCTTTAACCTTACAAGTAGCAGAACAACGGCTACAATCTTTGTTAAGATTCTAAATCAGCTTATGTAGACGTAAAGTTATTTAGTTTTAGTTTCTAGAATTATGAATATTTTCTGACGTAAATTTCAAAAAAAAAAATGATACGGTAAGTGAGAATATTGGAACTTCAAGTGTAATGTCATTGGCAGTCTAAGAAGAAATGAGAGCAATTTTGAGGGCAAATGACGAGTAATGGTATAAGCCAAACGTGCGTGGTACAAATGTCAGAAAAAAAAAGTTTTACTGACTTTGGCCAATTTGAAAACGGCTATTGTTCATGTTACCTGAACTTAAATACAATTCAGAAAGCAGTTCGTTGTTTTTTTGGACAGTTCAAGAGGGGTCAATCTACCTTAGTTTCCAAAAAATTTAAGGCTTTCTTTGAATTGTTAAACGCTAAAAAAAGTTTTGTTTCTTAACGTTTCTATAATAATAATTTAGAAAGTTGAGAGCCAAAAAATATGGGTGTCATATTTAGAATTTCATGAAGTTAAAATTTTAGCACTAGACAAAATTTCGCAGTTTTTTATGCTAAGAAAGAGTGGTTAGTTCTTGAAATGGAACCGCTTATAAATGATGGTTAAAAAGATTTCAAGAAAATAATGAATTTGGAAGACGTCTTCCTCACTGTTTAACAAACATTCTTATCTTTTTAACAGCTGCTTTCACTTTGCATCATCTGAAATTTGTAGATTAAGTAAATGTCTATAACTTTTTTACCTGCTCTATCTTTCTTAACAAGTAAAAAAGATTAGGAAACAACAACAGATTATCAGTTATTTATAACTTTTGCTACTAATCATTTAATCATTTATAAATCTTTTTCTTCGCTATTCAGTATTATTATATTCAAAAACCTTTTCGGAATAAAAATTTCTAGCACCACTTTATCTGCAGACAGCTTTTAGAACATTTGAAAAAGATGTTTTAAAGAGCGGAAATTTCTGCGTGAATATAATGGGTAGAATGTTCATTCGGAAAAGACAATGCTTGTAAAATAATATTAGTAGATAAATTTTTCTTTATTTGTTATTTATAGACTATGGTAATTTGTGTATTGTTGTTGTCCTTGATATGGCATTTAATTGAGACAAAAAAAAAGCAATACATTGATCAAATTTCAGTGATATCCGGGTTATTGTTTTGTATTTTCGTACCGACCGGCAAAATCCAGTGGTTAGCGAGGTTATTGATAGGTAGGTGTACTAATTGAAATGATGAAATTAAATGAATTATGAGCTGATAGAATTTTATTTATATGGATTTTTTTAGATGGGAAAACAAACTGTTACACTATGTTACGGCATTCAGAAGTCCACTTATAAACATCAGCTGCAGCAGCGATGGAATGTTCTCCTACGAGGTATCTGAAATTTTCCAGAACTACGGCCTTTCCGTAAACCCAACTGGGTGTGTGTTACGGATTTGATTAATTTTGTTTTTCTCTGCCATTCAACAATGTTTTGTCGCAACTGAAAGTCTTAAAAATGAGCAAATTACAGGTACGAAGAAACGGATTGACCTGTATACCATATTTTTCACTTTCGGTATTAACTGTATTCTTTTTCGTCTACGTAACAACTCAACAACGAAATGATGACACACTAAAAACTAAAGATTACGTGTACATCTCATTGTTTGCAACATTAAGTCCGCTATTAGCAATTGCAACAACGTAATTATCATACCTTGTATCTTGAAACATCAGATCACTGTTAACTGTTCAGGAGTGTACAAAGGCAAATTTAGACCTAAGTTTGAGTTGTTTAAAAAATAAATTACAGTGCCTAGTGGAAAATTTAAACGAACCGTTTTTGAGTGATTTGTCAAAATTGACTGTTTTACAGTCAAAAGTTTGCAAAACTTTTCACAAATACTTTTATTTCTAAACTTTATAACTTTAGCAACTAGCTAGAAAAAATTTTAATGCTGCTAAACTCTTTGGATTCTTGGTGATTACTGAAAAATATTACTCAGTGAAAACGATAGCAGTTCAAGATTAGATAACATTTTATATTACTCCGCTGATTTTATACAGTTTCACAAGTTTTATTGCAGTTCTAGTGACTTAATGTATTTTTAGATTTAACTTATTGATAGCTCTCGACGTACCGTTTAATTCCATAACTTTGGTGGTACCATTTCTGATTATTGGTGTTGGATGTGATGATTCATTTATTGTTGTTCATGCCTGGAGACGATCAAAAGATTGTAGTACGTTGCAGACACGAATAGGTCACTAACTTAGTTTGCTATTTTCTTAATCTTATCCTGTTTGTAAATCTTATCTCGAAAGTTTTAATCAAACCTAAGCAAAATTTTTCTGGTTTAACATTGATGATAAAGTTTTAACTAAGGCATCATAGAAGAGTTTGCTTTTAGCAAAGACTATGGAAGAAGCAGGACCGTCAATAACTGTTACCTCATTAACAAATGTGCTTAGTTTTACAATTGGAGCATTGACCGGAACTATGGCAATTCAAATCTTTTGTTTGTATGCTGCAGTTGGAGTACTTTTTGACTTTTTTTACCAGGTAGGTTACTTTATTTCTGCGCTTACGTGTTCTCAATTTCAACTTAGATTGTTTTCGATTTTCTGCAGTAGTCAAGTTCATTGTCTGCATAAAAAAAAAAAAAAAATGAAATGAAACTAGATACTTAATTAAGGTTTCTTCAAACTTTTTACTAACTGAATATAGGAGGTTACAACTAGCTTTTCTTCTATGTTGTCTATTTCTGATAGCATGGACAACAATAAGCCATTATAAATTTTTTATGCTTTTATATTTGTACTAGAGTTTTAAACAGAATTACTTTCAGCTAACATTTTTTGCTGCTGCTACAGTATTTGAAGGAAAACGTTTATTATCAGTAGCTCCGGCAGATTTACCAGTTCCAGACAAAAAAATTCCGATTAATGAAGATGTAGATTTTTAAGCTCTTTCTTTCTTCTTAATCAATTATAAATAGATTGCTTATAAACTCTAATTTGTTTATAAAATTCTTCTCAAAAATTAATTGTTTAATAGTCAATGTCTCAATTAATTGTTTCTGTTTTTTGTTTCAGGAGAGTGAAAAAGATGACTTTATTGCATCATATTGCAATTTTCTTAATTCATGGCTGGTTAGTTTTTGATTATCAACTGTTTTCATAGTCAAAATTACAAGTTATTTAACAGTATAAATAAGCAGTTCAAAAAAATTGCATTTTTTGTATTTTTTTTCTGTTCTTTTCAACAGTAATATTAATTCTAGCGCTTTTACTAAGTTTTTTTTTCAAGCAAATTTTAAACAGAAATGTTAACTTTTCTTTTTCTGCCTTATAAAATTATATTTTTAAACAAAGCATAAAAACCTAAAATATTCTACTGGTCAACCAATAATTACTGTTGCTTTAAGTTTTCAAAATAGTTGCATATTTGAAGATTACATAATTTATTTTGAATTTTTTAAACCTGCATAAACTTGTAATGCCTTACCAGTACTTCAGAATCGGTTGGCTTTACTGGGAATCATGATTTTGTACTGGAGCGCATCTATTTATGGTTGCCTTAAAATGGAGATCAAAATGGATAGCACTAACCTAATCCTGAAAGACTCACCGTTAAACAATGTTGCTTGGATCTACGAAAGATATCTATGGAGGCAAGGGTCCTTGGTTAGTTAACTGTTTTTAGCGTTCTTCTTTCTTTTGAACAAAAGTTTTGATAGCAAATTTTTATCAGTTTGTTCTATCCAAACTGTTTTTAAAGGATTATTGTCAGGCAAAAAGGCTGGTAAGTCTTTTGCAACAAAAAACTTCTTTTTGCAAACAATTTTCTAAAGAAACAGTTGATTGCAGGTAATTGTCTTTGTCAACAGTCCTCCAGACCTATCTGTTGTCGATAATCAGCTGAGTATGTTGAATATGGTAGATCGTTTCGAAACATTAGAACATTCAATGGGAAAAAATTCGACGTCGCTTTGGCTGCGATCATTTTTAAATCAAGCACAGCTACAAAATACTGGAAAAGATCATGGTTTTTATCAGTTGCTAGGAAATTGGCTTAAGGTTTTTATTTGTTTCTTCATTTCCTTCTACTTATTTTACAGTATTCTGAAGTATGTAGCTATTTGAAAAGAAATCAAGTAAATTACAAAAATAATCTGTATATTTAGGACGTATACAAAATCTTGCAGTAGTCAGCAAAGCAAGACTTTTGTTGTTGCTATTAATTTTACTTAAAATACCAAAATGAGAAAATCAAAAAAAAAAAAAAAGCGAAACTGGTTGAGAACAATTTAGGACGAAGAAAACGGAGGTAATCGGTGGAACGAAATGGTTCGCTTGAAGTACGAGAATGGTTCTGTTACCGGAGTGGAAAAGTTCATGTTCGCAACTGCATCACTGATGGGAGAACGTGCTTCTTGGACACTGCGTAGTCAGCTACAACGAAACTGGCGAACCTTAGCCAAAGAATTTAGCATTTTCAATGTTACAGTCTTCCAAGTAAAAACTTTGACTTCTTTTTTTTTTTCTGAAAATTTAGTCTCATTTTTATGTACGGTAGGTAGAGTTTGTCACTAAAATAACAACGATCAAATTTACGTTTTAAATACTAAATTTTATAATATATTTTCTGTAAATTTAAACAACTTATTAATGAAGTTTCTAGTGAATACTGGAGTGGTCAAGTGAAAATGAAAAAACTAAGAAGGAACAGTTATCTAAGGTTGGGTCTGTAAACACAGCCTTACTCTTTTCTACTCATAAAAAATATTTCAGCCGTATAGTTTTTATGTGGATCAACTTGACTCAATAAAATCAACAACAATAGGAACAGTTGTCGTTGCAATGCTTACTATGGCAATTGCATGTCTAATGTTGATTCCATCTGCAACGTCTATTTTTTCAAGGTATTTTTAGTTGTAGCAACAACTGATCATTCACTTTTCTGTTTCTAAATTTGTATCTAATTTTGCTACTTTAGTACTCTGGCAATGATTTCTATAAATGTTGGAGTGTTTGGTGGGCTATCCTTATGGAGCGTCAATTTGGATCCATTAACTATGTGTACTACTTTAATGGCTATTGGTTTTTCCGTTGATTTTACGGCACATATCAGTTATCATTACTATCGTGCATCATCTTCTTGGAAACCTTCAGTACGTCTTGCAGATGCGCTACGGTATATTTTAAGTTTTATCTAGCTTCGGCAGACAACTACTATTTTTTTTTCTGCCATTAATGATGTGTTATAGCTGCAGGCTGAGAATTTAGATATTTGTTTCCAACTACAACATTTCTATTTTACACCAAATCATTAATTAATTTTAGTTCCATAGGATGGCCAATGATACAAGCAGGCTCGTCGACTATCCTTTGCATATCGCCACTTCTTATAGTAAACTCATATTTAGTTCAAGTTTTTGTTAAAACGATAGTTTTAGTTATCAGTTTAGGTTTAGTGCATGGAATAGTATTTTTACCAGCATTTTTGCTAACTGTAGGAAATCTGACGTTGAACAAAAAGAAGGTACAACTTTGATATTGTAGATATGTATATGAAACATTTGTCAGTGAATGAACGGGTTGAATTTTGAGTTAAGAACTACAATGATACTCAGTAATTCTGAAACAAGAATTTGTTTATCAAGTGTTTCACTTGTCTGTATAAATGTATCCTTCAAATTAATATTAATAAAAAAATTTATATATTTATTGAGAAAGTGACTTTTTTACTTTTTTTCAAATCTATTTTACAATGGATTTGCAAGTCCCAATCACTTGAGTAGTAAATCAAACTTTAACCAGCTGATTTGCTCAGGTATTTTATGAATGCCTTTAAAGAGAAGTTCAAAAAAAATTATAAAAATAAATTTTGGGAACTGAAATAAGTATATATAACTTTGTTACGAAGAAAGCAAAAATATGAATTCAGATAGTAATTGCTAAAGGATAAAGTCTGAACAGTTTTGTAAGTCCAATGTTCAAGAAAGTTGACTGATGAAAGATATGCTTGAATCAAAAAAAAAGAGAACTGTGGTTTGTAGAGAAGGCTAGAAAAAAATCAGGATTCTAAAAATAACTACAAGCGAAGTACAAGAAGTATGCGGCACAGCGTGAAGACGATGTGGAATTCAACTGTGCAATTGTGAGAAGAATCTAAACTAAAAAAAAAAGTAATTACTGGAAAATAACCTTAAAATTAGTTAGCATAATGGCAGAAAGTGGTTGAATATGATTGCTCAGTTGCACCCACTATCCAACAGAGAAAATGGCATCACTGAATAACGCAAAAGACCTGTCGAGAAAAATGCAAATTGCCGACCAAACAATAATTTGCTAGACCAAAAGTTTTTCTCACAGCTGCCGACCAGTAATATACTAATGAAAGGGCCAGCAACAGACAACCACTAGAAATCCCTTAGACTGTTCCAACAAAGGTTTGTCCATTTTTGTTTATCTTTCCAATATCCAAACTGGAATGTATACAGTTTGTATGCATCTATCATTTTGGTCTCTTTGTTGCTTCTCTAAATACTGACGTTTTTTAGCTTCACTTGATAACTGTTCCAAAGCCGCTAAAATAAAAACACTCCAAACTTAAAACGTTATTATTCAACTGTACAGCTCCTCTAGCGGCTTAGTTCGTTTACCCAATTTTTATTTCTTTTTATATCTTTTTTTTTTTTTCTTTTTAATTTGTGTGTTCTCCACTCATAATACCTTAGCTGCGGCTGTCGAGTATAGACGGTACTTAGCAGGTTAAAAATTAAAAGAATTTTCATTGGTTAAAATTCATCACACTTTTTAGCCGCTCTGGAGAGTACTTGACCACTTAAATACCAAGTAAACCTCTCGTAGTACATTTCACATTTGAATATCACTGCTAAAATCGGTGTAAACCGCAAAAATCAACGGATAAGATTAGAGCTATAGTAATTCTGCGCAATTATGACCCTCAGATCTCGTTATTCAACGGCAAAAAAAAAAAAAAGAAAGTCCCATCACTTTCTTGACTGATTAGATCAAATGAAACCGATAAAAAGCTTTTGAGATGATAAATGCCAAAAATTGATGTGCAACAGATAGCAAACACTTTAGACGACCATATGACGATGTTACACAGTGGTCTTTATTGTTGCTCTTTTATAAAATTCACATTACACCTGGAAATTAGTCAGAAAACTCAAACACTTATGAGAATTTGAAAAGAAATTAAAGGGCGTTCTGGCAAAATGCCCGAAACTTCTCAGTTTTCTATAGACGATGACGATCGTTACTGCGGTTCTCTTTTGTTGTATATATTTCTCGTGTCAGTGCTGTTTGAGTTTGCGGTAGCGAGTTTATCGTTGTT